AAGATAACCAGCACATTATCTCAAAAGCTCACACTTGATCTTACAATCCCATATTTCACTTCGATGTTTTACTAACCCGTATCAATATTCAGTTTCATGGTTGGACATAATTTACACTTCTATGAACCTCTTCATTTTCTACTATCAAATTCGTTAGATATCATACACACATTCACCAATTCGTTTTTCAAGCGGTGATATAAAACGCTACTCAATAATCTTCCAGTTCTCGGTATCCGAAGATTTTTGGTATTGCTTTGAAAAACGAGCTTTTGTATGTCGAAAAGGAATCTTTCAAACCCCAGTTAAAATAGTGATTTCATCTGATTCTATATGTAATAACTACCTTCTGTGGTGGTGGACAGCAACACAGCAAGAAGGGAATACGTTTCTCCAATTCTGCACGGAACTTGGGATGACGGAGTGCGTACACGAAGGGGTTGTAGACGGCAGAGGCCTTCGCAAAAAACACCGGTAACTCAGCCATAAATGGAGTCATTGCGGGGAGCTGACCAATCATGGCCATGAGACAGACCACAGCGTACGGAGTCCAGGCCATCAAGTACAAAAGGACCAAAATTACCGAGGTCTTGGCTGCTTCCACGTCGGCCTTTTTGTCGCCTAAAATGAAATGCCCGATGATTCAATAAAGATTAACAAGTTACTGCGGATTTGTTGAAACATAAATGTGTTTATTCGAAAACTTGACTAAGAAGAATGGAACGTTGCAAAAACACCAAAACCTTAAAGGAATTGGCGCGTGTCTGTCATTAATCTGTCATGTTTTCTAAGGCCGGTTATTATAAACCGATTTCTCGGAAAACTTTTATCGAACTGACCGAATAGCCTAGTTTTCTCTCAACCAATTGGTTTGAACTGAACATATTGATTTAACATATTTTTGAATGGAAATGGCTGATAAAACTAAATTTAACAGATTTAAAATGAGGCAAATATTGCCGATTTTAAATTAAGTATGAAAAAGAATAATGAAAAACTGGTGACTGTTTTAAGTGCCGAATGTATTCTCTGGCAGTCTCATTCTAGTTTACACCTAACTGATTGACTGACGCCTTTGAGCGCAGAGTATGATTCAAACCACAAATACGAGTCCTCGGCGGGCAGGAGAAAGGTGAAATTGCAATTTCGCATTTCCCCAGCCGATGGTTGGTTGGATGTACTGGAGGATTAATTTTGAAAATGAGACCTGAAGGACCGATGAACAGAAGCGAAAAAGGTATATGATCCCACATTATTAATCACAATCAGATATGCGTTTAAATGTAAATAGAGATTAACTAAAATAGAAACTCACTCGATTTCATTGACGTTGGATTATCAGCGTTCAACTTTTGAGCCATTTTCTTCAATTGTTGTTCGTTTAAACGGACTGCTCGCACAATTTGATAGTAACAGTACACAATGATGAGGACAGGAATGGAGAATCCAAAGATGTACATCCCAGCATTGAACAACAGATTTTCCAAATCGTGTGACAAATAGTCAAAAGTGCACGATGTTTGAAAGCCTTCCGGGATGTATCGCCCTGAAAATTGGGTGTGTTGAGTGTATTGAATGAATAACAAGATTCTGATCAGATTTTTCCGTATAGAAATTCAGCATGGTAACCGAGTAACCGAAGTACAGCTTGATTGGTAAAGAGAAGCTTATGGAAACTCACATATATTCACTAGAACAAGTGTATCGAAATTTATTCACCAGAAATAAAAAGGATAGGATGTTGGAAATAAAACTAAGTTTGAAATAAATTTGCTTTTGAATTCGCTGAAAAACACAAAAATGTAAAATTAATATCAATTCAGTAGCATCCATAAGCAAACGGAAAGAGTTTAATGAATTTTTCATGGATTCGGTTGACAGTGATATTGCATTCTACTAGTGATGACATAGCTTCGCTCCTCAGTTATATCAATGGAGTAGCACTTCTGACGACAGCCAACAAGAAAGAAACAGCTGCATATTGTCTCTTAGACCTTTTGTTTCCAATGCTATGTTTAGAACCCGCTCATCGTGTGGTACAACTTTCCCTTACCGAATACATTTGTTTCATTCTTTCTATTTATAACATGTAACAACCGATTTTCTATTTAAAGAATTTGATAAACCACAAACCACAGTTTCCAGAAATACATTGACAGTTATTTCTTTACTCTGAAGCTTTCTCATTGTTTCCTGGGAAAGAATGGAAAGTTCACACAAATCCAACGTTAATCCTCTTTGAGGTTATTTCAAATGCAATAACAAACCGTTCGATCAAAACGTTTTGAATTATTCGCACGGTTCATTACCGGAGTCAGGAATAACTCAAATGTGTTTGCAGCTAACTCGGAAACCACAAAAGTTACAATCTATGCTGACCACAGCGGCTAATTTAGTGTAAAAACGACAAAATTTAACTTTTGCTCATTGAACTGTGTCATTCGTTGCTCGCGGATGCCACACGGACGTCGTTTAATTCTCACTGATTTCCATCTACTCATTAGAATATCAACAGAACAAGTGATACGTGCTGGTTCCAATTATCATAAAACGCGTTCCTTGATTCCACCACCCTATCTCACCCCAACCAAATCCACGCATCCACCCACACCTTCATCCCTTTCGTTAGGAAGAAATCAAATTTGACGAGTAGCTTTTTCTGAATAACAGACTCACCGATCCCAAGCCACGGGGGTACGGACCATAGAAGAGACCAAAGCCACACGACAATTAGCATCACAATGGCACGAGTGTATGTCATTCGTGCCAATGCTTGTACAGGTTGTACGATCACGAAATAACGATCAAGAGCGATAGCGACCATGGTAGACAAAGACACAAATCCGAACAATCCACCCAGGAAACCGTAGATTTCACAAGCTGCAATGAACGGTGTGGGTGTAACAGGGTAACACGGTACAGAATCTCCGCACCGTGTAGCACAATGAAGCCATTTGTTGACCAAAGTGAGATATACCCGTGTGCATTTAGAATCGATCAACAGATGAAATCAACCAAACTCTAACCGTTTTACAGGCGAAACAAGAAAATGTATTTTTCTGAAATCAACTCTGTTATGAGGTTTGAATTTAAGAACTCAAAAAATGTGACACTGATAGTAATGCAAACCCCTTGAACACCGGCAATAACTAAAAGCATTGCATCGCCTGATATCATTTGATCTATGAATGCAGATTTGAGGCGGATTCAACAAAAGCCAAACCCAAAGTTGCTTTCATCATCCTATCCGAGATGCTAGCAGCTCACTGACCCCTGTAACTGTTGGTCATCAAATGCAATCATGCAATCTATTGCCCAATTAAAACTGCATCTGAGCCCATATAATGAAAGTTTATCCGATGGCTAGGGGGTTACCCTGAAAATTTGACAATTTTCATAGTCGTCAGGGAAATTTCGTTATGTGATATACAGCATACAATAATCTGCGTTCTAAGTAATTATCTCTTTGCTACTTCTCAGCTTCTCAGTTCACAGGAAGTAGCTAAACCACCCGAGTTCCAAGGCCCTGCTGCAAAATTTTAATCGGAGAATAAAAAAGAACCTGGTAAAACGTTGTTGCTTCCGTCTTGCATACAAGGACAACGATATGATCTCTATTGTTATCTTACAGTTATATCTGAATAGGAGATGTGTTAATTGTTTTTACTTGACATCCTCACTATTTCATCTCAAAATACATTCAACATTATTTATTTATTGGTTTACTTTTGAGGTACCTTCGCTTCATCATCATCATCTTCATCATCATTGGTGATGCGTTTCCATCAGTTCATCCGGTATTTTAGCTCCGGACCCCTTGTATGGAACGCACTTGCGACCGCTGGACCAATAAGGTCGCACTTGGGCTGCCCAATGTACTAATTCATATATATATATTGAGATTTCGTCCTCAAAGTTGTTTCTTTCGATGTTAGTTGATAGTTTCAAAGGGATATCTATCCTACCGGATTGTATCCTACCTGCTGATTTTAACATCACAACTTGATAATAAATATTCAGCAATAATGAGCAAAACTTATGGGGGGAACACAAATCTATAACTTTCGCCAGTTTTTCCGACTGGACTAACTGAGAAACGTGTGTGTAAATAAAAAGACTAAAAGAGGTTAGTAAAATTCCCAATATAAGGATTACGGATTGCGAGTGAGACATTTAATTTTGCCCAAAGACTAAATAAGGGTGCCATTCTGACACGATGAAAACTTTTCAAAAGGTGAAATACTATTCAAAAGTAACGCTGAAGGTTATTGTCTAACCTAATCATCCCTCAGTGCAAAATCTGGAGGAGTGTTTGTGGAAACCGGTTCTGTGCTGGTGCTAGTATCTATGTTTAACACTTCATTTTTTAAACATAGGCAAGATGGAAAATCGTGAGCGCATAGACGGTAATTTAGAATTTCATCGAAAAATACCCAATATGATACAAACTAGTCTACTTGTCTCTCAAAAAACATAAGTAAACTACCGGGTACGAACTGAAAGAATCACACGTGCTATATTCCGTGATAACTTTTTACACATTCTTCACAAAATGTATCCACTTGAAAATGTGCCCCTCCACCATGATCACCGCCAAGTGCATATTCATCTTTTATGGACAACTGACTCAGAAACGCACAGAGTTCATTTGTCCATTGAATTTTACTTGCCCAACATATGCAGTACTGGCCGATTGTGATGCACTAAAATATTTTCTTTATGATCAAATTGAGTTTAATTATATTTATCACCCATATTATTACTATAGGCTTTGACAATGATTTATATCTTGTCTACTTCGATCTACGTAGTTTCTAGTCTGCATGGGTGTCAATTAAACATGCTTGACCCTGGTTGCCAATATTAAATAATCTCGACATGAAAATCACAAATTTTATCAAATATGAAAACGCAATATATTCTAATAGGAATGACTCGAGAATTATCCCAGATTATTTCTATTAATTCTTGCCATCTCGCTTTTTTGTTATGAGGCATTTTTTATCCGACGTATAATCCATTATAGCAACTCTATTGAATAACCAAACAAAATTCTTTCACAACCCAAACAGTTACTTCATTATAAATGTTGTTGCTTATACGAACCCACAAGTGTTTCACAGGGACCCGTTGCTTCAGTTTCGATTAGACCTGGATATAACACTTTGTCTGAGTACATTTCAAGCTTACGCACCACAATTGAAAGTAATTTCCGTTCTTACCGAGTTTCCCCCAGGTCCACCGTTGATTGAATGCGGCGATCGTCTTCAGCGGAAATCCCACCGTGGCCGAGAATAGACAGTCGGAAAGAGACAAATTGATGATCAACAAATTGGCCGGACTCCTCAAAGATTTAGCACTTCGTTTGCCGCACAATGGAGAAAGAATGAAATCGGGAGTTGATTTGCAGAGTAACAGCGATGACACAATCTTATTCATGCTTTGAGACCGTGATGAGTTCGGTCCCGGAGGACAAAATAGTGGGACAGACAATCTATGTCCTACTTGCTAGAGTGTTCCAACAAACGAACACAAAATTGCGCTATGAGAGGTACAGCAATCGGTTGAACGCCGGCAACACAAGCGTTTTGACCCTTCCTAGAAGGGCTATCATCAAACTAAGAACTAACCGTGGGTTTCAGTTTACAACCTGTGAGTGCTGTTCAGATCCAAAATTGAATGCAAATGACTGAGCTGCCGGATGCTGAACATTCGGAAAATATTACATCACCAAAGAGGAAAATAACGCAAGTTTTTATGAAGGTGTTATTGTGTCTGAAAATTTTTAATGCTAAAGAAACATATTGTTTTGTTTGATTTGGCATCGTTGGTCTAGCATTAGTGACTGCAAACTAAATTAGTTATATTTTCGATTGCTCATTCCATAAGCATGAAGCAATGCTTATCTACCTCGGCGTGAATGAAACAAATCATCAGATCGATACCAGCAGACAGACGAGTTTATGATTGTTTGCAGTGTCCATGCCATTGGTCCGCTCACCAAAACGGAAGCAAGCCAATATTTTTAAGGTATGGTATACATGATGTGTAAGCATAATTCTTGCATAGAAAGCCTCAGATTAGACGCTGATAGTATTTGGAGCTTATGACGATGTAATTCATCCTGCACAGTTACTCCCACCCCTCTTCTATTATCTGATATCGACGACGGCTAAAGGAAAGGTTTTCAAATAGAACTGCACCACAGTATTCACACCGCTTTAATATTTCGTCATTCAGAATGAATTACTGTAAGCGGTAAATCAGTCTCTATCCTCCACGGTACACTATTTCCCGTCAAATTCATTATCATCATGTGGACAGGAAAGGGCTACTACTGTGTTTCTAAAATAACGACAATCGATTAAAATGTCGGTTGGCTGTTAGTCGGTTGTTCTCCGGCTACTTCATGATTCTACCAACAGGTCAGTTAATCATCACCGTTGGTCATGAATTAAGCCGATTCTCATTCAAAACTTGTGGTTTTCAACTCTCGCTATCACCGGGCAATAAATTACCAGATGACTGAGACTATTTCAGTGAACCGATTTTTTATATTATCACGGTAGAAACACAAGATATCGTATCCCCTTAGCTACAAGTATAAAACACAGGTCCTTAATTGAAACGTTTTTGATCCTGCACTCCCTAAAACATTTTTCAGCCCACAAAATTAAAAATACACGATGTAGAGAACCCACTTTGTTGAAATAATGATTTTGTGAATTACTTAACAATTAACTGTAAGAGTTCTCCTCACGAACAGTCAAAAAATATGGGCACTCAACGAGTAAATATCAACTATTTGGTACTAGTAAAGCCACAAGTGAAAGAACAAAACACATTCTCTAGAGGTATACACAAACTGTAATAAATTATCGATACACATGTTGCATGATGGACACAAGATGAATCGTTCACAAGTCGATAATCCATTTGTCTTCCTCTGTACTTCGTTGCGTTTTTCAGACTTTTATGGAACAGATAAGCCAAGTTGATTATCTTGTTTTCCGTGTCAACTGACATCATAACGTCCAAAGCCAGATTGTTTATGAGTGTATTCTTTTCTCTTCGCGCATAATAAACAGAGGACCTGTAAATTGAGACTACTAGGAAGCAATTGTGGAAATTTGACCTTGAAATTCCCCATGGTATTGCAGGTGTAACTGTTAATAAATATTGCTGTCAGGGCCAAGAGCTAGAGAACCTCGCGTCAAACTTGATGCGAAGAATCATCTGGCAAACTGATCGGATTTTCGGAACCACATTTATAGACGCAGTCGTAAAAACAATTTCCCGTGTGATTTGTACAAGTCGAGACTCAGATTAGTTCTTCTAACAACATGGGTAACCTCAATTAACCGCAGTCTAGATCATCATGGGATTCGGACAGAGTGATATTGTTGTTTGCAGGAGTAACCATTTGGGAGGTTTTAGAAAGCACCTACGGTCAAAGAAGTCTAATCGAATCCTCACAGCCACTAAGAGATTCATAAAATAACAAGGAAATTATTTTTCCAACGGCGTCTAAACATGCATCTGTTTATTATGCGCGAAGAGAAAAGAATACACTCATAAACAATCTGGCTTTGGACGTTATGATGTCAGTTGACACGGAAAACAAGATAATCAACTTGGCTTATCTGTTCCATAAAAGTCTGAAAAACGCAACGAAGTACAGAGGAAGACAAATGGATTATCGACTTGTGAACGATTCATCTTGTGTCCATCATGCAACATGTGTATCGATAATTTATTACAGTTTGTGTATACCTCTAGAGAATGTGTTTTGTTCTTTCACTTGTGGCTTTACTAGTACCAAATAGTTGATATTTACTCGTTGAGTGCCCATATTTTTTGACTGTTCGTGAGGAGAACTCTTACAGTCAGTTGGTAAACAGCTCATTAAAGGATGTTTATAATAAGCACTATGAAAGAGGTATGAAGTTTAATCTATAAGCTTTAATATTGATCTCAATCATCAGTGACGAGAATATTTTCAACACGAAGTGGATACAATATTGTACCCGCAAACCTTGATATATTATTATCCAACATATTGCGAAATTAGTTTCACATTTTCATTGAAAGTCAAAAACCCACTGGAACAACACATGGGTGACATAATTTGAGTTCCTAAGGTAGACAGTTATTTTCTGAAACTGGTTTATCTAATAGATAGTAAACACGCATAAAGGCTTAACTACACCGCGTTTTGCTGCCAATTCGGAGTGCTCTGCGACTGTATGCGACAGAACCTATCGGCGACATGTGTAATCATGAATGAGATCACAGATTCCGGTTCCCATTGCTTATAATTTGTGAACGGCGTAAGTTTGCGTGGGAAAAAGAACGAACTCATCAGTGTTCGGACGTCCAATGCCATTCCCGGTCTAGACCGTCAATTTGTTTGGGCGCGTGCTGTTTTCCGTTGTTTTTGTTGTTTGTAAATAAGGGATGCTACCAAATTGAACGAGCAATCCCTGTTACACTAATGAGTTACTGGTGAGTGTGAAATCACACACAAGCATAACCTCGTGACCAGACCAATGCGTATCGTCCCGATTGCGCACATTTAGTGGTATTGATATATCCAAAGAAAAGTGTGGAACCGATTGAATACGGCTGAAGGCAATATATTTTTTCCTGGAACACTGTTGATTGGCATACCGTACTGGACACTGTAAAGGTGTTGATCAAGCTCGTACGACCTGACTCTTATTCATGAAATGCGTTTCAGTTTCTAATACCATAATTGTATACTAAAGTCTATGGGTGAAGTGTATATATTCCCAATTCTATCGTCAATTTCTATGATTCAGTCCTTTTCTATCCCTGTTTGAATTTGCACGACCTTGAATGTCGCGATAAAATTTATAGTAGTTCGAAAGTTATAGCTCAGATTCGGAAAATGTTTTATGCAAAGCAGCAGAGAAATTCATTCTTTTTTATAAATGTTTCCTGTTTCATGGGAACGTTTATTAGATTGAAAATACGTATTCAAAATGCTTATCTATTTTTGTTCAGTGCACAGTACACAAGCCAATTAACGAAGACTTTCTAGTTTACATTATTTACCTTCGCGTTAGTCGTATTCCTCAAATAAAGGTTAGTATTTTCTCTTGCTTGATGTTAGCAGTAGAAAACGATTAGACCTCAGTAAATATTATTTTTTCAGATTTGCGCAGTTTTTGGATGGGTCAAGTCCAGTGTCGAACTCATTCAATTATCGCCCATTAGTTTGGAATTGAATGTAATCGCAAACTTTGTTTTGTGTTAGAAATAAGGATAAGTTAGCTGCCTCGACATTGGTCGTCAGTTGTTAAGTAGCGGTATTAGAGGAAACAGGCAAATGCTGTTGAGCAGTTAACTTGGTGGACTCCAGGCAAAAGCGACTGCCTCCAGTTCTCAAAGATGAAGCAGGACAAATGAAAGATTGACAACATGAAAGTGCACTACGTGTATCAAGTCTGAGTTATTTTTATAAAGAACTCCTAATTATAGTTCTTACTGAAGCTTCGATACATTACAGCTGATCCGCCAGCAGCCATAATTGAAAGCAAAAAATCGTTTATTTTTCACTAAGTAAAGCAAAACATAAGTAGATATCAGTACTCA